AATAACAACAGTAATCAGTTAATTAAGGTTAAATTATTTAAAAGTATAATCAATACACTTTTAACCAATATAATTGTAAAAATATCACACAATCAGCACAATTAACAATCAATCAAAGTCAAATTGTTTCAATTGTTGATAATTTAACATTTGCTTGTCCATTTACTGAACAATTTGCAAATTACTGACCATTGATTGTTGGGTTACTATTAATATTTAAATACAGTTGTAGTAATAAAATTAACTAAAGCTAAAAAGAAAACCATTTTACTGATTGACAATTAACTAATTGTATGTGTTAATTATTTTTCTATTTACAGCCCTCACAGAATCGTGAAGAAGTGCTAACATTTGATGATCAATTAAAAGCTTGTTTAATTAGTTCAACGGCGTTTTTATTACTTCTGTTGATGCTGGTTACCTGTTTGTGTATCAATCAACGGAATAGGTAAAAGAGAAAAATATTTACAATCAATTAATTGTTTGAACAATTTGTTTGTTTAGAATTAACTTTTTTTCTAATCCTTGAAACATTTCCCTTGATTACCGATAATCAATCAGGTACGAGAGACGATTGAAAGCAGCAACTACAACGGCATTTGGCCATCGAGATCCACAATTGAATCGGACTAATGTTCCAAACACGAATATTCATGCAGACGAAGGTTCCAATCCAATTTGGATGACAGGTTATGATAATGAATGGTTCAAAGATGATGAACAAATGAGGTAAATAATAGTAATCATAATAATCACAATTAAATTACAATCATTCATCAGAAAGTAATCATAATAATCGTAATCATTACCAATCATGATGATACCTTTTCTTTTCGTTAACTTTGTTTTTTGTATCAATTTTTTTTCTCTCTTCTCTCTCAATCTAAATTGATTATTAATTTCTCATTTACTGGGTTAATCATTTTCACGATTACAATTTCTTTACTCTTCTCCTTGATTATTTATCATGAAGATGCCTGATAATTGTTGATGATTTAGATTCATGATCAAGGGAAAAGTTTCCTTTAACTTCAGCACTAATTTTATATTTTAGTTTTCCATGTATTGTATTGTATTGGTAAACTTTTAGTTCAATTAGTATTTAAATTATTCATCAGGGTGTTTGATTGTTATGTTATTGATTGAATTTAGCTCGTAATTGTGTTTGCAATTGAAGATTTTAACTGAAATTAATTGATTGTTTTGCTTTAGTCACAATTCAAATGGTGGTAACTCTCTTGATGAAAACGCTGTTTCTGAAGGATCGGGAATCGGTGGTACTGGTGATGGTCTTTCAGCTAATGGTGTTCACATGAACGGACCTTTAACACCAACTGATTCATTGAATGAATCACACCCTGGAACTGGATCAGAATCATCGACCAACGATAAGTCAGCCCTTTGTCGGGGTGTAACAGCGGGTCGATTAACACCACAAAATATAACACTTCCCTCGGCAGCATCGGGAAGGATAAATAATAATAACAAGAAAAATTCAAATCAACGAAGTGCTGGTCAACCGATGGGTAAAAATTGTCTCAATGGCTCCGTTGTTGTCTCATCTAATGGCCATGTCAATTCAATAGGACGAGGAGGAGGTGTAGGTATGAATGGAGGCAATGGATCAATCGGCGGGGGCAAACGGAACGGGAATCATTTGTCTTGCAAGAACTCAATCAATACCGTTTATATTTCGTCACCGTATTCGGACACATCTCAATACCACTCCAATCAAATCGGTGGCAACAATTTAAGCATAATTAATTTAGAAACTACTGAATTGTAAAACTGTAAATTTCTTGATTTAGTATCATAATTAATATTTGAACGTAAATGAAAAATACTCCATCATCTTGACCATCATCATCATCATCATCATCATCATCAATCAATTGGATGTGGATCATCATCATCAACTAATTGTTAATAATAAGCAATTAACTTTTCTATAGTTAATATTGTTAACCTTTTCTAAGTCATATTCATATCTTAATTGTTTGACATATTGTGATTAAGTCTTGATTGAATTAATTACTTACCATTGATCCTTTGATGATTAGTTGATAATTTTGTAATTTCGTAATCTCATCTGTAATATTAATCTCTCATCATTGCCAAAGATTGGACAGGATTAATTATTAATATAAATATTTTCTGTACAATATCAATATTTTTATTATAATACTTAATTACTTTTTCTAAATGTAATAATATTAAATAATTCAATACTAATCATCCTTCAGGCCAATCACAGCTACAAGCAATTAATCAAATTTGTATCTTAACTATTTTTGATTTTTTGATGCGAACAATTAATTTTTTAACTTTTGTAGCAATTGTGCCAATTATGATTAAAAATGAGTTAAAAAGCTATCATGATATTGAAATAAACTCAACACAATATCTCAAATTCACTTAATTGTTGCTACTGCAGTATATTTGAGCAACGTACTTGTTATATGTAGCAATTATTAAATTACTTTCACATGATCAAAAATCAATAATTCCTGATCCAGGAAGACAGATTCTTACCCTTATCCTCAGCTGATTCAATTCCCATGCTCAAAAGGGCTTACCTTGAATTAAGTATAACGATTAAACAATTTAATTAAACAAATTCCTAATCAATTTTGGTAACATTTATAATGTTACATTGTTCATAGGCGTTCACTATTGTATCTCATATGCGGAATTAATTAGTGAATTAGAGAGATAAAATTATTTTCTTAGTAATTGCGAGTTTGACTTTGAATCGTTCGCATTCAAATCTTTACATTAGTTTTGTGAACTTTAATCGAGAAATAATGTTTAATTCACTTGTTTCGTCATTCATTTTCTTTCTTAATTATGTTAATGGATATTCAGATGGTTATTCATGTCCTCATCTAAATATATCAGTTGAAGAATCATTCAAGACAAATAACATATTCAAAGATTTGGATTTGGATAAAACTCAACAAAGTGATAAGTTAAAGTTCATTCCAATTCATTATTCCAGGCAAGTTGATTGTGGCAACAATTTCACCATAGAGGAGACGTTATTTCCACCAGAAGTTGAAATCAATATCACTTCGAGTCCATTTGATGAAAGTCTATTCTCATTCATAATGATTGGACCTGTGAAACCAATTCCACGACAAAGTTATCAATATTACATTGGCTGATAACTAACATTCCAGGTAATCATCTTAAAAATGGAACCACGTTTGCATCTTATCTGAGTCCAACTCCAATAGCATTTCAAGGTCCCTATCGATATGATTTCATGGTCTATCGTCAATCAAGATACCTCAAAATTGAACCAGAAGAGATCATCAGAAATCTATTCGCTGTCACTCCTTGGGCCATAAAATGGACTAATAGGTCCTATCGCTGGTAACTTTCTTTATGAGGCTATTCCAAGTGACAAAAGTCTTCTTAGTTAGTTCATCACTTTATGATATCGAACTCATACTTTCTTTTGTATTTCTGGCAATCAACAAGAGTGACTGTTGATCGCTTTTGAATATCAAAATTTTATGACTCTGATTATACAAGGACTGTATGGACTTGGGTTTTAGTTAATGGAAATGAATGAATTTTAACAAAACTAATATTTATTTGAATTATGTTGGTGTCGATTATTTGAATTCACAATTTAGAATAAAATATTTATCAATTAATAGTGACCAGAGCTCATTCATCAACCCATTCAGTAACTTTTCAGTGTTTTATCTTAAATGAAAAATGGTTTAAATTGGAATCCAAAAGATTCTTATGTAACATTTAACCTTAATCCAACCTTTGAATCGCTAGTTGTCCACACCATCTATATCATTATCTTTGTTGTCATTTAATTTAATCCGTTCGGAACTAAAAAAACACATTTCATAGTCAAAAGGCGATTTGTTAGATGAAGTTATCTCAATCAACTTAACCTATGCCTTTCACCTTTGCATATGTCTAATTATCTATTGTATAAGCTTATCATCAACAGGTAAATTTCCATCTTGTAATAATTGAATGAATTGAAACACTAAAGAGTCTATAATAGAGAGTAAAGGTCACTTTATGGACAACGTGAACGATGAGCTACATTTTCACTTTTTATCATTGACTGGTTACACTCTTTTCTTTTTTATATTTGAGATCGCTTGATGAGTAACATTATTCTTATTGGCAAGTTCTTGTTGTCGATTAGAATCTAACTCAGTTAGAATATTCAATTTATCACTATTTATAAGTGTAATCACCATGAGGTAATATGGTGATTAACATCAAATGAAAAGCGTTAATTTCAGTTACGAGAGATGTCGCCTTATGTCAAAAAAACAACTCAAGTGGATACACAATTTTTATCACTCCTAATAAACTTTAATTAAATAAACTTTACCTGTGAATTTTGTGATAATATTGTTCATCTTATCACAAGGATCAAGTTGATACCAAAATTAAGAAAGTTCAACATTTACGATAGTTTTTTACTACTAAAACTGATACTTTTATTGCGTCGTAATAACTTCAATTATTTTTGTTTCTTGGTAAGTTTTGTTGATAATACGAGAAAAATTTCTTTTCTCTATCTCTCATTCTTTGAATAGATTGAAATTCTAATTTATTTTTATTTTCTTTTGTCATACATAATGAGCTAACCATTTTTGGACCTTCGGAAAATCAAACTAACCGCTCAATCAGTCTAATTTGGAAATTTCTATTTGGGATTTGTTTTGGACTTTTGTCCATTAGGATTAAATGGACTTTTGTCTACTGTGACTAAATCTTATTCTATCATTATATTCAACCTCAGGGGAGAAATTTTGTTATTGTTTTTCTTTTTCTATTTATCCTTGCCCCTATCCCTTTTCCTCATCCCTTGTAATGTACCGGAAACGATGAATTCAAATTCATCGAGCCTCCCCTAAGGTCGCTGTCAAAGCTTAAAATAAAATAGTACAACTCAAGTGGGTATATTACTGTAGTTAATTTAAACAGCTTTCGAACAGATTTATAACAATTAACAATAAGATCAAAATTTAGTTTAATTATTCATAATCATTGAAGTTATATTGTGACTTTTGCTGGATTCATTGAGACTGTTTCAATAAAGAAATAATTGCCAGCAACTGGACTGTTTAAGCCATGATCATGGGCATATTGGTACACATTAAACTTGGCTCGTATTCCGTTTTCAATGCCAGGTTTAATATCACCGTTGGACTGGTTAAAGACCAAAAAAGCGTATCGATGAGGCTCAGCAATCGATAAATACCCAGGGGGCTCATAAAAAGATGCCACATTTCCTGAACGCATATCACTACCTTGAACATTCAATATCATCCAGTGAATGTATGATCGACCTACTGGTGAAGTTCGTGTTGGAAAATCGACTTCAAGCCTAATAACCGTATATTTGTTACTCGACTCGGCGACATAACTTATGGTAGGAGGGAGAAAAGCGTCTGTAACGGATAACAATGTTCCACAAGAAACTTGTTTCTTTCCGTAAGTTACTCGTATAAAACCCATTCCATCGCTGGGTGGACTTAAATTCAGATCCGCGAATATCCCTGCATTACGAAAAGCGTCTTCTACTTTTTGTGTACTATTACCACACGTTTCACTAATCGGCTGGACACTTGAAGTAGTTGCTACAACTAAAACGATTACAAGTTCAATATGGATCATTGTTAAGTTTAAACTTCGTCACCAAATGAAAAAGGCTGATCAATACTTGTCAACGCATTTCTAGTCAACTAGAGGCTTTTATTTTAGTGTTAATTGTCATACAGAAACTGGAGGCACCCATTATATTTAATCAACTGTTATTTTTTATCCTGAACCTTTAATTGTTATTTAATGAGATACATGATATGAAATACATGAGGATGTAAATTTAATTCTAGCTGAACAAAAGTGTTTATCAAATTTTAGCTTGTTAATGATCAGCTTATCCGAATTTCAAGTTAGAACCGATTTAAGATTAGTTTTCATTTTGATCATATTTGCATTATTTTTTAACGAATTTTGTTCAAAATTGAGATTTTGATTGTTAATTGTTCAATTGGATCGCCGTTTCTTCTGTTAATTTTACTACCGAAAAGATCTTCGAGTGTCTGAATATTCAAAAATATTAACTGGCTCAACCTTTGACGATCCAGTGTCAACAACTATTGAAATATCAATAATAATAGAACAAACTTTCTTACGAAAGTTTGTTAGGTTGTTGCCAGACCCGTGGTTTAGTGAAATGGGCATCGTTTTTAATTGAAAATTCAAAACTAAATTTCTTTTTTCTTTCTCTTCTTTTCTCTCCTCTGTCTTTCTTTCTTCTCTCTCGTCTCTTTCTTCTCTCTTTTCTTCTTCTTTCTTTTTCTTTCTTCTTCTTTCTTTTCTCTCCTCTCTCTTCTTCTTCTTCTCTCTCTCTCTCTTCTTCTTCTTCTTCTTCTTTCTCTTCTTCTCTTTCTCTCTCTCTCTCTCTCTCTCTCTCGTCTCTTCTCTCTCGTCTCTTCTCTCTCTCTCTCTCTCTTCTTCTTCTTTTGAAATGCGCGCTTTAAAAAGCTTATCTGCATGCGTACATAAAAATCTTTGAGGCAGAATTTCTCATGAACGGCTACTCAGATTTTGATCGTACTATTTTTCCGTTTTGTAGGATTTTGGCAATTTTTGATACCTTAACCTCTCATAGAATCCTTGTAGCTTGAGCGTAATCTTACCCAAAATTTCGACAAATCTTATTCAAGAATGTAGAAGATTAACAAATCATTATCAAAGGATTGGACAATAAACTTGACTCTTACATTGAAAATAATCTTAATTTATTTTTACTAATTGTTAGTAGTATCGGTGGGTCAGCTTTATCGTTACTGTTCGTTGGGTTCACTGAATAATCGTATTGTTGGGGGTAAAGATACATTTTGAATATTTCGTTAGTGTTTCCAGTTTTTCAGAAAAATATAAACTAGAAGTTTTATTGTTGATGCATTCGGGCTTATCTGGACCATTTGATTAGTTTTGCACGGCTTCGTTAAAGAAATTACCTGCGATTGGTCCCGAGAGTCTGTTTTGTATAGCAAAGGAAGTGACTTGAAAGTTTGATCGTTCTTGCAATGTTACATAGGTTTTTCTCGAGGCCACTTCCTTCGGTTGACGATAAATCAAAAACACATATCGATGGGCTCCTTTATTTGGTGTCGGTGCGGGTGGTAAATATTTGGCCAAAGTAGTGCCTGTTTTCATATTGTTTCCCTTGATGTTAACGACCAACCAATGAAGTATCGACCTGGACGTGGCATTTCTCGGAGTTGGAGCATCAGGATCGACCATCATAAAAGTGAACAATTTTTTATCAGCACCCTTCTTTTTGCCTACCGGGTCGAAAGTAACTTGTGGTTCCTTCATTGTAGCCTTTTTCGTTAAATATGCTCCACATGTCACTTTGTCAGAATTCGGGTATTTAAGAGGAATGAACTGAATGTTATCATATATTTGAGTCTCGTCCAAATCCAAGTCTCTGATTATTTTGTTTTCCCTGAAAGACTCTTCCACCGATTCATATCGATATGGACAACGATAATAGTTATGTTGCGATTGAACATTGATAATATTGACAGTGAAAAAAATGAACAACTTAAAAAAGGGACTAAACATTATTTCTTGATACAAATTAACAATTGGTTCAATTATGCAAATGAGAAAGACTTAAAGTCACACTACCTTAAATAGTCACTAGATGAATGACTGATTATCCTTAAAAATAACAGGAGTACCTAAATGACATTGATTGTAACGATTAAAATAAAGACAATTTAGTTCAATCTACCGGTTGATTGTGCATAAATAACTAATTATCTCAGATTTTTGTTCTTATAAAATGTATCTTTTATACAAATTAACCATTACCATGAAAAATAGAGTGCAATCAATTGGTTTGCAATTTCAATACTTGATTATTTTAATCGAGACTTATTAGTAATTAGTAAAATGAGGCGAATAGTAACCAATGGTTAATAACAATTAAAAGAAATTTTATCCATAGAAATCAACATGATCAGAATCGATTCCATATGAAATTGAAGGTATCGAATCAAGTATTAAAATTGGTTAGCATTTTAGGTTGATTATCAATATTCATGAGGCTGTTCAAATAAGACTTATTGAGACCCAACGATGAGCTCTAATTATTAACTAATAGTAACGAGCGTTACTAAGATCTCAGGGTAAGATGAGTTCGTAGAGTTCTTAATAAGATCAGGTCGATAATTTTTAATTGGGTTATAAGTTTCAACTTTGGCATCGAACGGAAAAATGAACTGATCGATTTTTCTGTGACAATACTCGTTTATAACGTTATTATTTCTCACTCTAAAGAGAAATAACCGTCAATTTTAATTTAACCAACGTGAGGGCTTGAATTTAAATTCATTCTAATCATCATGTTTAATGATAAAGTGTCATGTTTAATTAGTTTGCTTGATGTAGGAAGAATTTAACTGCGACGGAGTCAAAATTTGTTTCTAATTTACAAATTTTGAAATTCGTTAATGAATTGTTCAATTGCACTGGTACGTTTGTTGGTTTAATCTTAATGCCAATGAGCTGAAACGGCCTTTTTTTTAAATTGTTTGAAATGAACAGAATTTATCGAGATAAAAATTAAATTTATTTATTATTAATATTTAGAATCACGGTAATTTTATTGGAGATTTAGTTGTATTCAGTGAGGGTGTTGTTGTCTCAAGAAAATAATTACCAGCGGTTGGACCAGATAAATTTCGTTCTTTCGCGTATTGGGAGACATTGAAATTAGTTCGTTGTAGAGGTACAAGGCCCATTTCCATATTACCATCGGGTTGTTGATAGATCAAAAAAACGTATCGATGAGCTCCTGAACCTGGAGGTGGTCCAGGTGAAATATAAAACTTGACTTCCTTCCCGGAAGCAATCTTATCTCCAGGAATATCAATTATCACCCAGTGAACAAAAGATCGAGCTAATGGGCTAAGACTTGAGGGCACATCGGGATCGAGCATAAGAAAAGTGTAATTCTTACTCGAATCAGCAACGAAGTCTATTGAAGGAGGAAGCATGGTCTCTGTAACGGATAAGAATGTTCCACAAGAAACTTGTTTATTTCCGTAAGTTACTCGTATAAAACCCATTCCATCGCTGGGTGGACTTAGATTCAGGTCCTTGAATATCTCTCCGTTACGAAAAGCGTCTTCTACATTTTGTGTACTATTACCACACGTTTCACTAATCGGTTGGACACTTGAAGTAATTGCTAAGATTAAAACGATCACAAGCTCAATATTGATCATTGTTGAGTTTAATCTTCGTCACCAAATGAAAATTAACTAATTCTTTGTCTATGTTCCACGATCACGCTTTTATACCTGTGTTGGTTTTCGTACACGAGCGGTGGGTGATGTTTGCATTACCCTCTAATTATTATTTGATTAACGGCAGGTTCCGAATGTTATTTAATTAGAGTGTTTATCAATGTAAAGTTTATCGTTAATTTACCCAATTTTAATCAGATAATCAAATAAGTAATATTGATCATAGGTTTAGTTTATGAACAATTTTAAAATAGATTTTAAACCGCTGAAAGTTCAAAGTACGTAATAAAGAATTGATTAACTAAATTCAATATAAAACTAAAGGATGACAATATAACAGTTGATTAAATATAATGGGTGCCTCATGTTTCTGTGTGACAATTAACACTAAAATAAAAGCCTCTACTTAACAAAATGCGTTGGCAAGTATTGATCAGCCATTTTCACTTGGTGACAGAGTTTACTTTGAAAAAAGTTGCAATACTAATTGAACTAAGTTTACCAATACATGGAAAACTGAATCTGGAAATAATCACCCGCGGATGAGGTTGCACGATAATGGATAATAAATCCTTCAATAGAAGTCGAACTTTTTTTTGTAATTGTCCCAAATAACTTGAATTTGTGTAGAGCTTTGTGGTACAACTGCAATTATGTTCGGTGCGTCTTTGGGTTTCTTCAACATGCTAGTTCGAATCAGATGAAATTTATCGGAAACGGGACTTTCTCTATAATCTGAATTGTTAAAAACTGCCATAACTCTGAATCGATATTTCGAGTCAGGTACAAGACCAGAAACAGTTTGTGTTGTTATCCAAGGTGCGATATCTTCAGACAGAGTGTTCCATGTACTTTTGGGACCCGATTCTTTGTACTGAAGTTTGAAAAATGAAACAGGTAAACTCGTTTTGTTGGAAAGTTCCCAATAAACCATAACCGAATAATCTGATAACCTGTTGACTTTAGGTTTACTTGGCGGTATCATTGGTTTACCATGACGTTTCCTTCCTCTTCCTCTCTCTCTTTCTTTACTATTGTTTTCTCCACCTCCATTGGGTTTAAATATATCATCTAGAATAGAGATTGTACTCGGATTCTTTTGATTAATTGATTTATCGGCTTCTGAAATTCTTGAATTATCCAAAGATTCAGCTCGTGAAAGTAAAACTTTAACATGAAAGAGAATAAGTTGATTTGTAATCATTGTTCAGTTCGTTTGAAGCGAAACACTGAAAGATTCCCGAATGGATTGATGAACGGGCATTGGTCACTATTAATTCGGTATGTTGCTCGTTAATTGTTACTCCAGGTATATGTTCAATTGATAATGAAGGTGATAATTGTGATTGTGGTTTGGTTAAAAGTTTACCATTAAAAAACCAATCAATTTCTGGTTTGGAATTACCTGTTGATTGACATTCAAGAGTAAAGTTTTTCCCTTCGTCTACTTTAACATTTTGTAAACTTTTCACGAATCGAGGTGTACTTTGAACATCAACAATGGCACTTGTCTCGATTGAAATATCATCCATTGATGCTCTACAAATGTAAATTCCCGAGTCACTTTCGTCGATTGAAGTTAAAACTAGATTACCAGCTATCTTTCGATACTTTTTCGAATCACTGATAACTTTTTCTCCGCCGCCATCTCTTTTTTTCAACCAATTTATTTTCGGTAATGATTTGATTCCTTGAGCGACACATTCTAATGTTATATTTGTTCCCATAACAGCTTTTGTTAAATTTGCTGGAAAAACAGTGAACTGGACAATGTTTTTGGTACTTATGATAAATGATTGTGAGTTAGTTGTTATATTGATAGCTTATTAGATTATACTAGATTATTAGTGTAGCAAATTCACTTCAAAATATAAAGATTATTTATTAGAGCACTTTGGGTAACTTTTTACCCCGATTCCATGAGGAAAAATGGCCGATTGTTGGCCATTATATTGGTAGTGAGGGAGATTATCTTCTCCCTCGCCTTCATCTTCTTCCTCAAAATGAGCCAATAAGATTAACCAGGTACCACGTGAGGTGGTACCTGGTTGTACAAAAGAACTGTGGTAACCAGTTTGGTTACAGTTCGGGGTATATAGAAAGATCAACGTCCTCGTTGATTTACAATTATAATTTAGTTATTATTAATATAAAATTGCCCAGCACCGGACATTATTTACAAGGTAAAAAAAACTTGTTAAATATTATTAAGTGTATGATTATTAAAAGTTTATAATTTTATATGATGGTTTTGACTGTTCATGTTCAAGCCAATGTTGTATCGTCTGTCCATTTTTAACCATTTCTCTTACGACCTCGGCTGGAGGGATATTATTTTCCTTTAGTTTCACATGTACGCCTTAAGGGTAACACGAGCATCTCTTTCTGGTGAATGGCCAATTGTTACATGTGATGTCTTCTCGTCGAAGTTTTTGATGATCGTGGAATAGGAATTTGTCCAGGAGACTAATCCTATGGGTTGTTTACCTCCAAAGGTCTTGAAGATCTAAGTGTTCAATAAAATATTTCTTGAGTTTGTCTGGGTTAGGCCTAACTTGTGTAGATCATCTTTTCCTTGTGTTATTAGTCTTCTGCCGATGGATAGTTCTGCAACTTGCATTGAGACTTCATCTAAGGATAATCCAGATGAGATGTCATTAATTTGTAAACCTGTAATTCTAGTTAATGGATTCGTTATATTTTCATTTTTAACCTGTGCGTAGTATACGGTTTGGATTCTTATTTGATTTCCAAACCAACCTGAAAGATGAACACTACCAACACCACCATTACCATCACCTTCAATATCAAGTGCCAAGGTATCTTTTTTATTATTTTTCGGACCAATTGGGATATATTTTTCTAGGTGTTCGGCAATCGGGTTATTCAAGTTTTTCCAGGCTTTCCTCCATATGCTGACCTTAACTCCCGTCGTCGAGTTCTCCTCTGTTCTTTTATACGTGAATTTTTTTCTGGAGTTAACTTTACCATATTTATATTAATTTGATGATCAGTTTTAAAAGGTAACTCAGGACAATCTCTTCTAAAATGGCCTAATTCACTACAATATGAACAAAATTACAATTCATTTTGTGTGCTCAAGTCTAAAACATAGGAACAATGTTTTTCGGGCAAGTGAAAAGTTTTACTTGTGTTGAATTTCTGCTGTTTTGTCTACGTAAATTTTCTGTATATTTAACCAGGTTGTGATGAGCGATTTCTAATTTATCTGGATGATTTGCTGTTACCGTTAGTTTGTGTATTTGTTCATTTCGGTGTACCACTCATTTCATATTCTGACGACACTAATCTGGTCTCCAAACGTGACCATAATAATTGTATATTTTGATGCAAAATTGAGAGGATTAAGTAACACTTTCTGAATATTGATGCTGTTGAAATTAATCTAAATTGATTTGCATTCTGGTTCGTTATTTGTGTTTGTTTATTTGTTGTCGAATGATTATTTTTGATTTTATCTTTAAATTCTCCATACTCTTTGAAAAGCGAGTAGTTTTGGATGTGGAGGAGCGTTTGTTTTATTCCAATCTTCTTCCATCCTAATTGTAAAGGAAAGAAAAGAAAGAAGAGAATTTCAATTATTCATCTACCCCAAATCACCGGAGTTTTGAATAATAAGTATTAAATTACCCATCACCGGGTTGATTGAAATTTTATCATAAATTTGAATTTTAATACCCAATCACCGGGTTAATTAAACTTTTATCATTAGAACTTCGAAAACCCAATCACCGGGTGAAAAGAACATTTTCATTTTATTAATTGTATGTCCATTACCAAATAAATTATCATTATCATTAGTAATTTTATCTCCATCACCGGAAAATTTCGAAAACCTGCCCCAGCACCGGAGCATTGATTTTAATTGTATTAATAACACTGATGTAAAGGTATAATAATGTCCTTATTTTCTTTATTTTCTCTATTAACTATCACAGAGTTTATTGATCTTTTTGGATAAGGGATTAATCTACAACCAATAACACAACACAAGAAGCTGATGGTAATACAAATAAGTATCCAAACCCACATTGGTACATTCATTTTCCAATTGATTTTAAGGTGATTGATACTTTCTTCAATTTTCTCTTGAGCTTCATCGATTAATGTGAAATCAAGTGGTTCAATTTGTAATTCTTTAGCTGATGGTTGAGTTCATCGTAAATTGATTGTGTGTATGTTCTGATACTGGTGAACCCTGACTGTGAATTTGGAACTTTTGAACTGTATATTCTAGATCATCAATAGTAAAATTAGTATATTTTGATAATCTTATCACATTATTTGGACAAATATATTTTATATTACTATACAAAGTAATTGGGTGTCCTGCACAATGTATTAAATACTGCTCTCCCATTTGTTTAACTTGAATCGTTTCTGCGTATGTGGTAACATTAGGACTATTGCTGAAACAAACTTCATTCTTCCAAAGTTCAATTTTCTTCAAGTTTTTTTACAATTCGATACTTTCTTAAAAATAGGATTATGACCTTTCAAGTCCTTCTCGCTAATCTCACAGAATCGATAATCGGTGATGTTGACTAATACATATTCTGGACCTTTATATGTAACTTTACAAGTGTGTATTATTTTATTATATAATGTAAATGCATCTGCTTGAAATATTTGGTTAGTGGTATCTCGTAAAAATGTTGTAAAATTTATCATTAATGTTGGAAATCTTTCGTTATTGTATACGTTTACATTAACATTTTCAATTTCATCTAATGAACATTCTGGTGAGCATGGAATAATTTTGAAGAATTTAAAGAAATTTTATCAATCCTTGGTTTAGCTTCTCTAATGGTTTCATTAAAATGTTTTAATTGGTTAAGTTGGTTATTTGCTTGAGTTACTGTATCGGCGGCTTGAAATGTTAATATCGGTAAATATTGAGGCAGTTGATTCACATCGAATTGAATATAAAACAGTTGTTGGCTTACATTATGCAATTGTTCAAACTGTTTTTTTATCAGCTTCTTATATTCTTGGTTAGACTTGATGGCTGTTAGTACTGGTTGTATTTCTATTTCGAGGGAAAATGTGTTTATATAAATAGTTAACGCCACTAATTACTATTCCACCAACTATTATTGTGGAGGCTACAGTTCCCAGAGTGATTATTTCTCGTCTTATTTTTATAATATTTTCTTCTGGTTGGTTACGTTCGGTATATTACGAATAGGATTTATGTAATTTTCATCAATAAATGATGAACAATGGTCTTCAAATTTGTCTAGAAATCTCCTACTAATTTACATGGCTGGATTATACTCATGTAATGGATTCATTTTTTCCTTGTCTGTTTTAGAACGATTGGGATTTCTTTACATGGGTTTGAAAATGCTAGTATAACAGAGACCTGTTGAGCTGATTTTCTTGGGTGATAATCAGTTTTCTCCATAGAATAGGTTCACCACTAATGAAAGGAGAAATTTCTAGCATCTCTACTGTGTGAGTATGCTTAAAATTGTTACTAAATTGATTAAATTTCTATGAAAGTACGGCTTGAGTTGGTTACTATGCGCTCGTCTCATTTTTCCTTTTATCTGTTCTTAATATTTTATAAGTGGTGTCTCCTTGTTTTCTATTACTTTATATGGTCCTTGAATTTTGTTTCAGTTTTGGTCCCTGAAATTGCTTGTACATTACTTCATCTCCTACTTGATAGGTTCGTAATTTCTTCCGATCATGTTGAATTTTTGATTTTCTTTGAGTTCAATGAGTAAAGTTTTGCTTGATCATAAATCTCAGGCCATTTTCGATTGTTGATTTTAAGTTAGATGGTAATTGTTTAAATGTCTGGTTGTTAATTATAATATCAATGGGTAAGGTTGGTTGACGACCATATAGTAAATAGAAAGGAGAGGCTTTGTAGATTGATTTACACTGAATTATAAGCGAATCCCAGCACGGATTAACTCGCTCCACTTTTGAGTGTTTTCTTTTTTACAATAATGAGTTAACATTGAACACAATGTTTGATTTACTTTTTCTGTTAATCCATTTGTTGCTGGATGATAGGCAGTTGAAAATGACCATTTACTTTGGAAGAATAATCTAATTTGTTCAACCACTGAAGATATAAAATTTCTACCTTGATCTGAGACAATTGTTCTAGGGCAACCATGTCTGAGGAAGACCGAGTTAATTAGGAAAGTCGCTGTTGATTCAGCGGTCATATCTTTGATTGCTGCAACCTCTACCCATCTTGTAAAGTAATCGGTACACACTATGATATAATTGTTTTTCTTAGATGTTGGGAAGGGACCGATTAAATCGATTCCAATTTTCTCGAATGCATTATTAACAATTATTGATTTTAACGGAGCTTTAAGGTTCCACTTCCTTTTTATCTAATTGACAGATTAGACAACTTCGAACGTAATTGGTTACATCTCTACTCATCTGGGGCCACCAATAATGTTGTTTAATTTTATTGTAAGTAGAAAAGATCCCTGGGTGACCGGACAAGACCGAATCATGATATTCTTGCAAAATTTGCTTAATTAATCTTTTAGGAATAACTATATTCCAACTTTCTCCATAATGGTTAATTGTTAATCGGTATAGTAGATTCTCTCGGATTCTGTATTTAGAAATTAATTTCCTTTCTTTGGGATCTAAATGAGAAAAGTTTTCTAATTGTTCAATTATTTTAATGATTCGTTGATCTCTTCGTTGTTCATCAACTAGATCTATTTTATCTTCAATAATTTGGTTAACTAGTAATGTGAACAATTCTTCACA